CCCCCATCCCCAATTTTATTGTGATTTTTTTAAATAAGTCTGCAAGGGTGGAAATAACGCAGAAATAAGGGAAGACATAGGGTTTTTATGAGATGTATTGAAGGTTTGGGTTAGTGGGAAGGAATAGGGATGATATGTTGGAAGATGTATTGATTTTTTTAAGGGGTGGGTGGAAATTTATAACTTGGGGGTGAGAATTAAGTTTTTGTTGAGAATTTTTTGATTATTTGTAGAAAATTGTTTATATCTTCTACAATTTTTGATACAATTTAAATTTTCTTTAATAAATCTATAGACAGTTAAATTATCTTTAGTTTGACTTTTAAATTTTTTAATTAGTTGGTATATTTAATTAGTTATAAGGCAATTAATATCAAGAAAATTTTTAAAATATTGTTTCAGAAAAAAGCTCATAACTATTTTAATTTTTACTCAATCTTCACGAACTAAGCAGCATCATAAAGCCAAATAAATTATCTATACTAGTCATTAATAAAATTTTACAAATTAGTAGAATAATTAGATTATTTATTGATTTAAAGTTAAAATTTAGAAAAATTTAAGTTACAAAGTTGTCTAACAAAGTTTTAGTTGAAATTTAACCATATTAATTGCTAAATTCTGAAATATAAATTTCACAATTCTGTTCACAATTTAAACAGCTATAAAATTCTTTTTAAACAATCAACTTTAATAAATAATTGTAAAAGTTATAAGCAAAAAACTAAATACAAAAATTCTTTACATTTAGAATTTCTTGATAAAATTGAATGTTTCCAGGCAAACAACATTTTCTACTCCATTATCGCGGACTCCATTTCGGTTCGAGCGCCGTTATCTAACTCCGGAATGCGCTGCCGCCTCCGCTGGCGGCAGCGTAGAGAAAAGTATCGCGCGAAGAACAGAACAATGCAAGAAAACGCCGCGTCGAGGGAAAACTGAAAGCCGCTGCCGCCGCCATCGCGAACGCGCAACACTCACGTGCAAAGCAAGAAAAGGAGAAAACGTTACGTACGGCCGACCACCGCCGCTGCCGCCTCCGCGCGCGCGTGTCTTTTGCCGGCCTTTTGTCCCGCGACGCGCGCACGCAAAACAAAAACAATTGCCGAGCACTTGAAATGTTTAGGACTTCCGGCGAGCGAACGTGGCGACGTGCGGATGATGCATGGAATGCATGCGCAGGAAGGCGGCAATGTTTATCCTACTACACACATCCTGGATTCAGGACAATTGGGTTCCAAGGAGTGGAAAAGTGCAGAAAGTGGTATAAATCAAGAAGAAATTTTGCTTTTTTTGTAGAAATTTTATGATATTAGGCGTAATTTTAATCGAAATTAAATTATTTAAACAAATAGTTAAAGATAATTAAATTATCTATCGATTGACGTATTGGTCAATGTTTTTACTTAATAATAAGTATACTTAAATTAATGTTAAAATACATTAACATATTTGAAATAGTCAGAAATGCTTTTGGTTACTAAATTGTTTATAACAATAGTAAATTTAATTAAAAACAAACAATTTAAACTTCGATTGATAGCCAGATAAACGCCTAATCAACTATCATTTTAAATTTTGAATTTATTGCTACTCAAAGTACTTTAAAACGCATGTAAAATTGATATTCAATCTTTCAAAAAATATTTTGTTGTTTTCTTACATTTTTGTTAATAACTTTTGTAATTTTCAAGATAAACAATTGAAATTTTTCTTGAATGAAAGCCAGGAATATAATACATCAAAATTTATACAACAAAATTCTAAAAAATCACTCTTAATATGCTTTTTCTTCAATTAAAAAGTCAAAAAATATTTTTTACTTTTATTTTAAAACTTTCAATTTCGTTCATTTTAAACCCAAATTTTAACAAAAAACACTCCGGATATTGATTCTTTTAATTTCACTTTCATTACCCATACTTAAAAAGATTTCTTCACTTTCAATCTGTTGACCAACTGTTGTCGAAATCTGTTTCTACCTGGCTACCGAATTTCCAAACAATAAATTGGGCGTAACTCGAGCAGTCTGCGTCGAAAATATTAATGAATACATCGATTTGTTCCCAATTAAACCTCGCATCACAATTATACATAAATAATTACCACCGTGATTTAATTAATAAGTAATTAACAAGTTTTGCAACTCCAAAAACGAAAAAATTCAAAAATAAAATTTAAAACAAAAACATTAAAAACTAAAAGCATTACATAAATAAATAAAACGTGTGTTTACTCTCTGCAACATTTCCTAAAAGTTTATGTTTATGACGTCAGAGTTAAGGTTTCTTTATTAATTTATGTCGCGAAAAGATGGAGCGCAGAAAACACGAAAATAAAACATCAAATAAAGAGCGGGCGCGAGGCGTGCTGGAGTCGTGGATGAAATATACACGCTGCCGCCGCCCGCTGCCGACAGTAAAGTAGAAAGTAAAGTAAGAAGCAAAGTTAAAAGTCATTTAAAATTAAGATTAATTGCTCGGTTGTTTTTCATCGTTTGTGTACTTAAAATTATTTCAGGCGTGCCCGAGTTATTTCGTTATTTAACTTTCTTGCCCGGTTCTACGGGTCTCCGCCGTCGAGACCAGCTCGGGGGCGGGTTGGAGGGTGGCTGGGAGGGTTGGAGAGTGATGAGGAAGAGAGACTTGGAGTAAAACTAAACCCAACTGGGAGTTATTACTAGTTTTCTTCGGGATTATTATTATGGATTTTTGTTGTGTACTTTTAATTGGTTAATAATTAAAGTATACAATTAGTGGAATTTAGATGAAGTAGACTAGAGGGTAGATATTTTAATTGGGTTTGTTTTTGTGCTTAGAGAAAGTTTCCATGGTTAATATTTAGAAAGTTATTAACAAAAAAGTAAACAAAAACAAGTTTCAAGTTTATAGCAATAAATAATATATTTTTAATAAATATTTTTAAAATATTTTTTATGCAAATGATGTAAAATTTGTTTGGCTTTATTGTCAACTTTGATTTATTGCAACATTTGTAAAATTATAAAAGTTATTAACAATTTTCTATCAGAAAACACGAAAAAAAAAGTGAAAAAATTGATCGGAAATAAAATTAGATCAAAAATTGTTTAAAACTTAAATAACTTTTGAACTAATAGTGCGATCTAATTCAAATTTTCAGAAAATATGTAAAATAATCCTCAAATTATTAAACCATAATAATATTTACAAAAATTTTAATATTTTGTTAATTATTTACAAAAAAAGTACAAAATTGTAATTTTTCCTACTTTTGCAGTTTACTTTATTAATAAATCAAAAAGTTATGAACAAATTTTATCAATACTTCTACACAACATAAACAATATACCTACAAATAAATACTCCAAATTTCAACAAAATCCACCAAATAGTTTTCCCATAATCTCAAAAAATGAAACCTAAAAAATCATCTAATTTAATTTTCTCAGGCATTTACTCTGAATAAAATCTCACAAAAGCTTTTTTAAGCACACATAAGCTCAAAGCGTCCAAAAAAAGCCTAAAAGTAAAAGGGTCCGCTTGTTACACCGCTCGTCCGGTACAAGTCTGGACAATTCTTCAGCTAGTTCGGACATTACTATAAAATAAGCGCGACTAAAGGGCCCAAAGGGTGAAAGAGAAAGGGTCGGCGAGCGGATGTGCGGCCGGCACGCCGAAAACGCGAGCATATGGTCGGCGGCAACCTCTAAATGACCAACGCGGCCAGACCGGCACGCACAACGACCGAACAAGAAAAAGACCGGTTTGACCAGGTCCCTTTCATTCAAAAAGGGTGCATTGGACACTGATACAACCAAAATGACCTTGAAATCATTTACATTTATAATAATCAATCATAAAATGAATATTTTGAGGTTAAAATAAAAAATTAAGAATTTATTGTGTATTTGGTTGCATATAGTCAATGTTCGGATGTTATACCGCTAGTCAAACATTATTTTTTGTTTGGATTGTGTTTGTGTGTGTTTAGAAACACATGGCTGTAAAATATTTTCATGGCAGTGCGATAAGCGTCGCCTTAGAAAAGCACGCATACTGGGGGCGGCGGCGGCGGCAGAAACACTCGCAGTAAAACTAAAGTGCGCTCTTTAAGTCTTACGATCGCTTCTTATCTTATCGGCCGGTAATATGGCGAGTGAGCGGAGTAATATGCCCAAGATGAGTGCAACTTTAACTTATCCTTAAACTACCCTTAAAAAATTTTGCCAAAATTTTGTTTGCTTTCATCTGAATCTTAAAAACTTAAAAAATAATTGAATTGCGTTTAAATGTTTTGTGAATAGGTTTTAGTTGTGTTTTAGATTGTTTGGAAATTTGGGCGTGTTTGTGGGTGTATGTAGAAGAGGGATAGAAAACAGTTTTGTTGATTAAATTTTAATTAGAACAAATGGTTGAAAATGAAACCGAAAAGGAAAACGAATTTGTGAAACATTCACAAAGCAAACAAATTGGGTTTTATAAATTTTAAGGCAAAGTTTACAGGTCGATATCTTTGTTAAAAATTATGATAAGAAGTTCAATAAAACGGCAAGTGATAGATAATTTAATTGGCTTTAAGATAGAGATGAGATTATTTTCCTATCTTATTTGGTTCATTAATTATTTAAACTTTTGTAACACTAAACATTTTTATATATTATTTTATATTGTGCAATTTTAAAGACTGATAACGTTGTTATGCAAAGAGCTAAATTATCAACCAATACATCAGTTTGTAGATGATTTAACTGCCTTTAACGTAGTATTTAAACATTGACATTTGCATAATTAGTTTAAACAATATCTTGATTTTTATCAAACAAAACACAAATAAAATTTTTAGAAAAAAAACAAATTTTTGTTTAATTAAAAAAATATATATTTTCCTTTACAATTATATTATTTCTTAATATAAATATTAATAAAAAATTTAATAATCTTTAATTTAACGCTTTGTTCATCTTCCTAGCATAAAAACTCACCGAGTTATTAACAAAATTCCCCCGCTGTGTTTTTTAGATTCTCGCCATAATGAAAGGCGGCTGGAAAACGCGAACAAAAAGCCCGTCTCGCGCCATATTTTCGCATCCCCTGGGCACGCCGAGAAAGAGAGTCTCGACGCGAAGGTCTTCACCGCCTCGCGCATTTCTTTACCGCCGCCGCCGCCGCTCCTGCGCCATCGCCGACTTATTATTTTATGCAAATGAAGAAAAACATAAAAACGACGCTCGTTCGTCGCCCTCGCAGCGAACGCGACGACTCGTTTGCATAATGAGCGAACGAACGCGCTGGAAGAACGAGACGCCTTCTCGTCCTGTTTTTATCCGAGGACTCAGGATAACGTACAGTGAACGACGCACGACGACCAGATAACCAACACACAGGATAATCAGATAGGAAAAAACTTGCGGGAAATAAAAAAATGTTTTTTTGGTGTTTTAAGGATAATTTTAAGACAAAATAAGATAAAGTTGTTGTAGTGGGGTTTATGTGTTTTTATATTTTGTAAATTTTAGTGTGACACCCTGTATGTAATCCAGGATGCAGAAGGACGAATACATCCTCGCGCAGGATTCGTTTTTACGCCGCACGGCGCAGTCACATGAGTGTGTAAGTGCGAAACTAAATCACCTCGTTAACTTTCTTCCTTTTTGTGCTTTTCGTCCTTTTTGTCCTTGTCGTCCTTGTCATGTACCTCGCAAACACTTCTCAAGTCTTTCAACTCAATTTTTTTGCTTTTTTTAGACAAAATGCAAATAACTTTTTTACTGATAAAGATAAAATGGTGAAATTAACACAGTTCGAAAAAGCATTAAATTTTCTATAGGAAAACGTAAAAACATTTTTGCTTTTTTGTTTATAAAAGGTCTTAAAGGATTAATAAAATTGATAAATATTTTTTGTGAAGTTGGTGAGAAAAAATTTATGGTTTTTGTTATAAAATTATGAACAACTTTTAAACAAATAAAGATATTGAGTGGATTTAATTTTTAAATAATAAACAATCAAATTGTTTATAAATAGCCTTAAAATTGTTATTGTGAAAATTCTCTAAATGCATGTAAAAAATTAATAAACATTTTAAACATTTTTAAAACATCAAAAAGTGATTTTTTTACAAAGCTTCAAATAACTTTTTATTCTTTTATCGCATTTTCATCAACTAAATGGCATCTTATAAACAATAAAATTACCTTTCATAATATATATCCCTTATCACAATATCTCCATTGTAACCCTATTTTATTTGATGTTAAACTTGAAAAACTGTTTAAAACTCTGAAATTTATTCTACTTCCATGCTTTGAAAGCGATATCGCTGGAAGCTTGCTTCGTTAATTTTAATTTTAATTGAAAATAAGAACGGAAAGTGCATGACGAAGGACTTTCTGCCATGGCAACGCGCACCCCATCCCTTGCGCCGTCCCCTTTTCCGCGCTTGGCTTTTTCTCGCCGGCGCGCCGACCAGTTCTTATTTCGTTTCTTATTTCTCGTTCGTTTTGCATCCCTTGTAGCCGCGCGCACTTTGCGCAAGGGTGCGATGCTAATGCCGGGGCCAAAAAAGGGGGTGGAAAATGCTAAACGCGAAAAGTGCGCGGCAAGAAACGGCAGGGAAATAAGAAGAGGAAGAAAAGGGGCCGCAAACGAAGAGTGATACCAGACAACCCTTTGTGTGAGGGTTGAAATGGAAAAAATTAATAATGACGTTGCTTGGCTGGATAATTATGGTGGATGTGACAAGGGTTCGCAAGGAAATCATCAATAACAAGGACATGAATCAATATTGTAAGAAAATGTCTTCATTTGTTCAAGTTGCTAAAAATTTAAAAACATGTTTTAGAAAAAATGCGATAACTTTTGATTGCGTCATCCGATTTTATAATTGTTTTTACTATTTAATAGCCAAAGAGTTTTTCTATCGTTTGATATACCTCTTTGAAACATGGCTATACCGGAAGTGCCCTTAAATTACCTTTAAATTCAGACATTGTTTTACTTAGTTTTTTTATAAAAAGTTAAAAGTTGATAATTTTCAAAAATTAATTTGAGGCATTAATTATTAACACAGCGTATTAAACTAAAACTCATTTTAAAGAGACATTATTCTTCTATAATATAAAAAATAAATGAAGGAAATCGAGTAATGGAATCAAAAGATATTTAAATTTTTCTTAGAATTTCCAAGAAAATAAATTTTATAATAAGTTTTTTTTAAAGATAAAAACTAATTTTAACTATTTAATTAAAACAAATTTAAAGATATTTTGTTGCTATGTTGTAGAAAATTTAATTCTCTTTAAAATACTATTTTGCTTTCCCGGGAAATATTAAGATAACACCGTGTAAAATAACTTTTTCTTAAAACTTTCCCGTTGAAAACCCTTTTTTGTGCTCGTTTTCAATTAAAATTGAAATTAACGAAGCAGCTTTGGCGTCGCAAGCACACCGTCGTAAGTTGCGCACCCCCTGCAACCCGTAATATAAATTTTCGCCCGGGAAAGCGTTCGGTTTTTCCTCTTTTTCTCTCGGCGCGCATTTCTATAGGCGAATTTATTATCTCGCATACGCCGCGCGTCCTTTCATGCTCAAACCCACCCTCTCTCGGAAAAAGCACCGGCGAAAAACACTAAATATACTTTATTATAACGAGCCGCCTCCGCCGCCTCCGCCGCAGCCGCAGCAACGAAAAGTTGAAAAACGTATTTGTATTTCGCATAAAACCGGGCTTTTCCCGGGCCCCGGAAGAAAAAGGACGTGGTGTGGAGGCGGTTAGCATGGAGGAGAAGCGGGTGTGTAATGGTGTGAGTGGTGGCGGCGGTGGAAAGAGTAAGCTGAGAAAAAGCCTCGAGTAAAAACCCTTCGTGTTTAATATGCATACGGTAAAGTGATATTGATATTTAAAATATGAAAAAGTAACGAGTTTCCACCACCCGGGGAGATGGGGGCGGCAAATGTAAAACGCTTAAAAGGATCGGATTAAAAATTCATCTCACAATTAAATTTTTACGTGTTTAGATATTTTTATGCGTGAAAATTTTAAGAAAATTGCAAATTACTCAAAAACTAATTAAGATATTTGATATCTGAAAACAATCAATGAAAGTAGGTTAAATTCTTTTTTAATCTACCTATATACTGTTTGATAAAATTAATAATTAAGGCAATTAATTTAGGTTTTATTAAATTTGTTAGTTTTTAAATTTTTATAAACGAAAAAATTTACATTTTTGCTGATAAAAACTTATCAGATAATATAAAATAAGATTTTAGACAATGATTTGAAAGCCAGTTAAATTATCTTTCATTTGATGTATACGTTGTTAATATTATTATACTGGATGTTTAAGTAAATTTGTCTTAAACTCAAAAAATATTTTTAAGCCATATTTTTGTTAATTTTTATTAAAACCTATAATAACCAATAAACAAATAAAAATACAACAAAAATAAAAGATGATGATTAAACAGAATTAAATTATCTATTAAATAAGATATCAACTAATACCATATCCCTAAATTTGTGCCCGTGACGTGCGTTTGAAATTGTGTCACAATTTTAACATTTTCATCCAGAAATTTCACAAAAACTGCGATGACGAAGTGACAAATTAAGACTGCGCCCCGACGTTGTTCAGACGCGCCCTAATCTTAATTCCCTCGCGCGATCCAATCTCCTCGTCCACCGCCCGCCGCCCCCGCTCTTCTTCTTCTTCTTCAGCCGCTTTTCTTCGCCGAACTAAAATGTCTTTGTTTCTTATTCGCCAGGGAGACGGAAATAACGCCGCTCGGCGCTCGGACGGCCGTCTACCGCTGGCGTTCGTGAGGCGGCGGCTGTGGGGCGGCGCGGGGGACACCTAGAAAGATAAATTAGTCGCTCCGAATACTTTCATTAATCTAGATCATCCGCAATACCTTCTTTAAGACAACGGAGGACCAGAGGCGGCGGAAGCGGCACACGGAGGTGGCGCACCGACGTGGAGAATCCCACGGCTTTCGGATAGATTGCGCGCGCGGAATAAGGATCCGCTCGAGATAAATCGTCGCGCAGATGCATCGCTAGATAAATTGGTAATTTACGATAAAAAATCACCTGTTTGGTAAATCTTTAATTACAGACGTTCTAATCAAGATTTTTGAATTTTGTAAAAACGTATTAATAAAGAAATAAATTTTACATATTTTGGTTTTTATTGCAAGGTACTATCTTTATTATTTATAAAGTTATTTGTATTTAAATTTGATTTATACTTTTTTAATATTTATAAAAACGTAAAAGTTTTACAAAAATTGTTATAACTTTAGTAATAATTAAGATATTTGACTAAACTAAAATTTGTCTAATAGCAATTTAAAATATTTACCTAGTACATAAAATTCTTGAAAATATAATAATTAGTTTGGCTGTTATTTGGCAGTAAAGTTGCAACTTTAATATTTTTGTAAAAAAGTGTAATATTTTGTAAAATACCAAAAAACTATTAATTATATTAAAATAATTATAAATTTTAAAATAGCCATTGAATCTTAATTAAATTATCTATTAAATGAGACTTTGTTTGTTATCCTAGGACAACTATTTCCAAAGTTATTAGCTCCTAAACTTGTCATTTCAGAAAAGAAATCTAAAACCTAATACTTCTACATTTTCAATGTTTTGTGTCTAAAAAAGTGCCTTTCTACACATTTTTCGTGGACAAATAGTCCTGCGTCCCAATGTCCTGGCTATCTAGGCTTCATCCCGGCGTGTCGTTAATCCTTCCTTATGTGCCGCTCGCTGTTGCGAGGATTAGTCTAAAACTTGCCTAATTCCGCGCGCGCTCGCGTCGACTGGCGAACAGCGGCGGCGGCGACGGCGGCGGCTGCAAAAAGAGTGGCGGTGGTGGGGTGGACGCACGCCGGTGGCGTGGGGGCGGCTACGGCTAAGGTTTTAAAACCGCCTAATCCAACTGAGGTTTCCTTAAAATGTGTTTCTTGCATATTTTAGTGGGTCTTACACAATTTCCACATTTATTAACTTCAACGCGACCGCCTCCACGGCCGCCGCCGCTTCAGCGTCACCGGCGCGCCGAAATCGCAGCGCACATACATAATTACTACGCATACTTTCCACTCAGTTATTTATTCAGGGCCTAAAAGACTAAAGTTTAGACACGCGTTTTTTAAATGTTTTACAAAAATGTTAATAACTTTGTTAAAATAAACGATATTTTAATTTTGTAAACGGCAGTTGATAGCCAATTAAATTGTTAATCAACTGGTTTTTGTTGGTTGATTATAAGTAAAATATTTTATTTGTTATTCGCCAATAAACTTTTGATATGAATTTATAATAATTAAAAATAAATATGCAACATGACATAAAATTGCTTGTAACTTTGTTAAAATATAATATTTTTTAAATATTTAAACTTGCCTGGAAAGCTACTAAAATTCCACATTAAAGTGTTTTAAAGACATTAATTTTGAGTGATTAGTATATAATT